GCAGAGGTTGATCTCCGTCTCGCAATAGTCCCCCGTGAAGCCCTGCGGGCAGCGGCAGCGCAGGCCAGCGATGGGGTGGATGGGCCGGAACAGGGTGGAGGGGGAGGCGATGAAGGGGGCCGAGCTGTCGAACTTGAGGACGGAGATGCACTTCATGTAGTTCTGACAGGGCTCCCGCAGGCAGACGTTGTCGTCAAAGGGCAGCACCTCCAGCATGGAGGCGCCCGTCAGCGCCATGCGCTTCATGTACAGCTGCTCCTGCAGCTCCTCCGAGCTGAGGTAGCGCCTGCCCCGCGGCGCCAGGGCCGAGAAGCTGACGTTGAGCACCGTGCCACCCACGTCCGTGTCGTTCTGGATGTTGAAGATGAAGATGTCCTCCTTGGGCGTCGCGAGCACGGTGGCCACCCCTTCCAGGAAGGTGGCCAGCAGCGGGGAGAGGAAGCGCTCCTGCCACATGTTCTCCAGCCGCACCGTGATGCTGTTGGCCAACATGTCCTCCGTGATGATGATCACCCGCAGGACGCACTGGGCTGTCACGCTGTGGATCCCGTCTGTGGGAGGGAACAAGGACACGCTGCAGGTCTTTGCCTGCTGTTTGGAGGGTCTCCTCCCTCCTACCCTGGGGCACAGCCCTGCACCCCAGTGTGCCACCCAAAAGGCCCAAGTCCTTGGCTAAGGAAGCTTGGAGCCACAGCTCTGGGGGCCAGCAGCGTGCCGCTGGGGCTGGAGGGGGAGCAGTGTCTTCAGCCTCTCCACTGAGATAACTCTCAGGTCTCTCCCTTGTGCTGCATCTTGGCAGCAAACTGAGCGCTCAGAACAAAGGTGCTCAAGAGGCTCAGGCAGAAGAGGTCCCAGCAGGAGGCTGGGCAAACACAGGAGCCAATGCCAGCGCCTGGGGTGTTTCGCTTCCCCGCTGCGCCCCGTCTGCCTGCCCCATGTGCCTTTCCCTGCACTTTCCTCATGCCATTTGCTTCCTCTCTCCTCCGGGGTCTCCAAGGCTTTTGTGCTGGTCTCCCTGCTTCCCCCCTTCTCACCATCTGCTCCACATCTCTTCCTCCCTCAGCCCATCTCCGGTTTGTTTAATTCTCTTTAATCTTTATTTTCCTTGGAAACCAGCTCCCTCCCCCTGGGACCCGCACCACACGAGCCATCTCCTGGCCACGAGCACAGGAGCACACTTGGAGCCTGCTCTCTCCCTGGACTGTGGCCCTTAGCAGCATCTCAGCTCCATGTGAGGCACGCTCATGTGCCAGCAGTCAGGCTGCAGGGACACAGCACAGGACACAGGACATAGCACAGCTCCACCGCAGCAGCTCGGCCACTCCCCTGCTTCACCTCACCCACCTACCCAGCTCCCAGAAACCCAGCGGATCCCACTACCTTGGAAGATCTCCCCTCCAAGCCTCACGAGCAAAGCTGCCGTTGCTACTCCTCTCTTCCCATGGCTGCCGTGTTGCAAAGCCTTTGATTTCCCCCAGCCCTTTTGAAGCTTGCAGAGCAGGGGGATTTAAAGATTGAAATACCTCCCTTTTTTCCCCTCTTTCTTCTACTCTTCAGAAGGTGAAAGCTTTCTGGTGACCCCGCAAATTCCCATGCAAGCACCGGGGCTGGAGCTCTGGAGATAAGGCTCATGCAGGGCTGGGGAGCAGCGGTGCTGGTACAGTCACCTGGGAGCTGATCTCCTGGAGGAAGGGGGGTTGCTTCTCTCTGAAATCAACCTGCTCCTGGCCCATATGAAAGTAAGGTGAGAAATCACCCCTCGGTGTGACACCCTGCCGGCTCTGACACGGAGGGCAGCATGAGAGTGCTTACCAAATGGCTCTGTCCTGCCTGGGCTCAGCACGAGGAACCAGCATCGCCTCCTGCATCCCTGAGGCACCTTCTCTCTGCAAGAGGCCCACGGGCTGCAAGATCACCCAGGCCTGGGGAGGCAGGAGCACGGGGAGAGCCACAAGCCTGGCTCAGCTGCACTTGGCAGAAGATGCTCCCATACGCTCCGTGCCTGGCACCGCCTGGCGAGGCAGCACCCCGGGACACCGCCACCCTGAGACCAGCTCCCTTCTCCACAGGAAGCTGTACCACATCCCTGCTCCCTCTCCTCTCCCTTTGTCCCCTCCTCGCACTTTGCCTCTGGCCAAGGCAAGTCCGAGCTCAGTTCAGCCCAGATGCCTCTCGCTCTGCTCTCTGAGCTCCTGGTTCATGTGGAAGCAGCCCAGAGGCCCAGGGGCTGCCGAGCGCCCAGCAATAGGCAGGCAGACATGTGCTGAGTTACGGGTCCTATTAGGCCTTGGCTGGTACCAGGCTGAGTGCTGGGGCAGGCTGGAGGCCAGCAACACCTCCCCATGCAAGGAGGCTGTGGCAGGGGAAGAAGGTGGACTGAAGGGTGCCCAGCACCCTTGGCATTGCCCAGCCCATGGCACCGAGCACCCCTTTCCCCATTCCCCACAGCAACATGGAGCCAGCTCTGGCCCCACAGCCATCCTTGGTAAGCTCCCCCATACCACCCTGTCCCACCACAGCATCACACCCAGGGCTGGCTCCATGAAAGGGGAAGCAGATGGTTAGAGAATGACCTGCTGCAAATGGCAGGAGGAAGCTACCAAAGGCAAACCCAAAGCTGGCTGGAGGCACTGACCCCCCTGGGAGGCATTGTGATCACGAATGCTCAGCCTTTCTGACTAAATCCTGTGGCTGGAGAGCTGGTGCCTGGTGAATATTTATGGAGGAGCCCTGGAAACATGCCTACAGGGAAAGGAGCAGGGAGAAGGGACATAAGGGGCTGGGCAGCACCAGAGCATTGTGTTTGCACTTCCACGATTGACAACAACCAGCTTCAGAAGCAGCAAAGCTACAGAAGGAAGAGCTCTGGACAGAGAGCGGGACAGGCAGCAGACTCCTGGGAGCTGTCTGTCAGCCTGGGAATGGAGCTCTGGGCCTGTGCTGGAAGCCTCTTGGGGAGAGCAGGGCTGCCAACCGCTACCCAGCAGTGTACTGGGTCTGCCAGGGAAGGAGCCCATCTCCCCTGTCCCCCTGCGCTGCCAGAGGCACTCCAGACCCTGGGCAGCACCAGGCATGGGCTCCAGGCAACACTCCCAGCCCAAGAGCCCCCAGTCACTGGCAGAGGCTCCCCTTCCCCTGCAGCAAACATCTTGGCCTCCAGCCTCGCAGGGAGCTCCAGAGATCGGGAAGGTGGCAACACAGCTCAAGCAGCTCCTGACCCTGAGGGGTGCACCCCTGCCCCTCACCTGCGGGGACCAGATGCTCAGAAACAGGCTCTGGTGCATCATCACCTGCATGGGCCAAGCAGCAGAGCCACTGCTCCACCTGGGACATCCCAGACATGGCGAGGGCCTCCGGGACAGGCAGGGGAAGCTCTCACATTTGCAGTCAAGGAGCAGTGAAACACCTCCAGAGGAAAAGCCGGGAAAGGAGGAGACAGGTACAGGTAAGGTGAGCATTCCCCACCGCTTCTGAAGGGCTTGGGCAGACCTCTCAAGGCTGATGATACTTAAGAGATCTCAAAATTAAATCAGATTCCCCTCACCCAGCCCAGAGCACGAATGTCCCTCTCCTGGCAGCTCAAAGACTGGGACTAAAATACAATAACAGAGACAACTTCAAAACTGTTCCCTACCCAGGAATGGAAATCCTTAAGTCTCCCACCCTACCTCTGTGGTCAGCACCTCCAGCTCCGATGGACCCAACAGGGAAGGAAGCTCCTAAGAGGGAGCTCCTCAAGGGAGGAAAGGCATGCAAGTTGTGAAAGATCAGGGCAGCCCTGGGACTCTCATCTGGCTTGAAAAGGCAGCTCTGATGTGTTCAGATCCAGGAGTCAGAACAAACATGCTTTAAGTGGGTCTTCCCTGCCAGGCTGGGATTTAGGTGAGATAAGTGGGACAAACAGGGCAAGTCTTTGAGCTGTGCACAGAGCACTCGAGGGGAGCAGGGGCAGCAGCCAGAGCTGAGCCTCCACCCCTGCCACCAGCCTGGTCCAGCGAAACCAGGCTGGGATTGTTTAAAGTCAACACAATGTCAGCTTCCTACAATGCCCCGATTTCAGTGTACTGCAGCCACGGACATAACCCCCTCACCTCTGCCATGCATCCTGAGTGGCCAAGAGCAGCTTTTAACAGCCATAGGTGCCTACACATCAGCAAGGAACTGCAGTCAGTTTTGAGGTTTTCAGTCCCTCTGGAAAGGAAATGGTTTGTGATCATGGAATCCCAGACTAGTTTGGGTTGGAAGTGACCTTAAAGCTCATCCAGTTCCACCCCCCTGCCACGGGCAGGGACACCTTCCACTAGAGCAGGTTGCCCCAAGCCCCATCCAGCCTGGTCCAAGTCTTCCCTGCTTCCAACAAGGGGCTGAGCTGAGAACACACACCACTCACAGGGAGAAAGGCCCCTTGCCCTGTGTTTTAGGCAGATCCAGCCTCCCTCAAAGGAACCATAAAGCTCACAGGCAGGCACAGAAGCTGCTCCCTCCATGGGTGCTGACTCTCGGGACACCCACCAAGACGCTATTGTTGCCTTGTTGCAGGAGGAAGGTGCTCCAGCGCGGTGCTGTGCTGGGCAAACAATGCAGCAGGGTCTGATGTCCTGGCCACCAGCCCTGCAAAGCACCCCTGCACACATCGACAGCATGGGGCCACGGAGCTGCCGGCTGGGGCGGGGGCCGCAAACAATAACAGCAGACACCAGAGCAGCCCTCCACCTCCACAGCAGTACCAGAGCCAACAAAAGGCCCGTTTCCCAGTGACTCGCTTCCCTCCCCTGTACAGCTCTTTGCCTTCCATCTTCTCCCCCTTCACCAGCACACCTCTCCCAGTGTCCCTTCCTGCTGGAAGATGACGACACTCTAACTGCAAGGCCCCCTCAATGCAGGACTTCAGGATGCGATTGTCTCCTGCCTTTGTGCAGGGGTAAGTGTGCGAGGAGGCAGGGCTTGCCTGAGCACACTGGGCAGAGGCTGGAAAGGTCAAACCACCCCCATCTCCAGTGATGGGCAAGTGTGTGTCTCAGCCAGCCCTACAGTTACAATTAACCCCCAAAGAGCCCCAAGCCACCGCTGGGCTGGTGCTGGCCACGCAGGATTGCCTCGAGCACGTCTGCTCCTCCAGCTGTGCTCCACCTTTGGAAAGGTATCCTCCCCTTGCTGAATAAGCTGGATAGAGAGAGGTAAAGGGGAGGGCAGCTGGAAGCTGAGGTCGGGGGAGCTCCACAGTTTAAGGCTCCCCAGGTAATTCAGCACCGGCCCCTCCAGAGACGGCTCCTGCCCTCCCCACAGAGCCACTCCTCAGTTCAGCGATGGACAGACGGACAGACGCCTCCATTTCAGACCACACGTCCACGAGCAAAGAAAGGCTGATGTGAAGGCAGAGCTTGGGCAGTGGGGAGCTGCAGGTCCCACCCCCACCTGCTCACACACAAGCCTCCCAGTGCATCTGAAGGGGAACCCAATGCCCCCCAGAGCCATCATTCACACCTGCATTAGGATACTCCAGCCACACACACAACACGAGAGCTCTAAGCATGGTGCTGTGAGCTTGGTCACAGCTGCCCCTCGCAGTGCTCAGGTGGCTGCAGAAAGGTGGTACCAGGTCTGAGGCCGCAGCACAAACCCCTGGTGCCGGCACGTGCCACAGTCAGAACCAGGACAGAACCGTTTGCTGCCGGCAGACGGGTGTTTCCGAGGGGCTCCCTCCACGCCGAGCCCAATCCCCCTCCCCAGCACAGCTGGTCCCAGCAGGGACAAGAGCCACCGGGCCTGAGACACAAGTGGCGTTGGCAGCCCCTGGGCCGGCAGCTTGGCCACCACGGAACCGGCTGCGTGCGCGGGCAGCACCCCGCGGTGCACACCACAGCCTTGCTGGTGACAGCAGCCTCAAAGATGCCTCGGGAGCAACTACAAGAGATCCTCACAGCTCAGCAATGGTGCTTTGTTCTTGTAGACCACCTCCAGCCTCGGCCCCTTTACTCACTGCTACCCAGCAGCTCCCACTGCTTCCCAGCCCCTCCAGGATTATCCCCCATTGGAAGGGACTCCCAGTCCAAATCTTGCTAGCAGTCCCCAACACCACACCCCCCTGCGGAACAGGCTCCCCGGGGGAACCACACAGAGGCCCCCTGAATGTTCTGCACTCAGGGTTTAACAATGTGATGGTTTTCACACCCTACCTGTGACAGTGACCAGCATGGAGGCCACGAGCGGCCGGTTGTTGTCCAGTTTACGGCTCAGCCTCAGCTCCCCGCTCGATTGATTTACAATCAACAAGTGCAGTTCATTTCCCCGCTCAAAGGTGTAGAAGAGGCGGTCAGATGCATCTGGGTCATAAGCTGGGACCTTCCCTATGACCCCTGAGGGGAAGGTGTTGGACTTATTGGACACGTAGTTATTGAACAGGATCTGGAAGTTCTTGAGAACAGGGCTGTTGTCATTCTGGTCAATGAGTTTGATGTGGACCGTGGCTCTGCTGACCAGAGGGGCAGAGGTGGCCTGCACTACAATCACATACTCAGGTTTTGTCTCATAATCCAGGTCTATCAAGGCTGTGAGCTCCCCAGAAAAGATGTCCATCTGGAATATCTCAGGGATGTTGCCTTCCACAATTTGGTACATGATCTGGGCATTGGGTCCCTCATCTGGGTCAACAGCTGTGATCTGGGCCACAACAGAACCTACAATGCTGTTTTCCTTTACCAAGACCTCAAACTCTTCAGCAGGGAAGACAGGGGCATTGTCATTCACATCCTGAATGGTAACCTGGATATGGACAGGAGTGCGCTGAGGAGGGATGCCCCTGTCCACAGCGTACGCTGTCAGTTCATAGACAGGAACATTCTCGCGGTCCAGCCTGCGGACAGTGCGAATGATGCCCGAGGTGGGCTCTATGGTGAAGTCTCCATCCCCATCCTCCCCGTTCTGGAATGTGTACTGCACTCGCCCGTTGGTGTGGGCATCCCGGTCAGTGGCAGAGATCTGGAGCACACTGGTGAAGGGAGGTGCGTCCTCAGAGATCATGCCCTGGTAGTGAGGGCTCACAAACTGGGGGGCGTTGTCATTCACATCATTCACCATGATTTCAACATAGGTGGTGTCCGCTTTCTGGGGGATCCCGTTGTCCTTGGCAGTGATAGCCAATGTGTATGTGACCTGGTCCTCATAGTCCAGTTCTGCCTGGAGAGTGATGGCCCCGGAGTCTGGATCGATGCGGAACTGAGGGACATTGTCCTCCAGATAATATGTGATGCGGGCGTTTTCCCCCACATCATCGTCCGTGGCGCTGATCACCACCACGGTGCTGCCCACGGGCCGGTCCTCGTTGATGCTCACAGAGTAGTGGGCACTCTGGAACACAGGCCTGTGCGTGTTGGCATCAGTGATGTTGATGTGAACGTGGCAGTTGTCACGCAGGGTGCGATCGGAGGCCGTCACAGTGAGCACGTAGCGCCGCTCCTGCTTGTAGTCCAGCGGCAGAGACAGCGTGATGAGCCCCGTCCCGCCCTGCGTGCTGATGGAGAAGCGGTTCCGTGTGTTGCCTCCCGTGATCTGGTAGGTGATGGCACTGTTCACATCCCGGTCAATTGCCGTGACGCTGAGGACACTGGTCCCCACGGCTGCGTCCTCGTTCAGGCGGATGAAGTACTCCTTCTGCGTAAACTCGGGGCGGTTATCATTGACATCCATGACAGTAATGGTGACGCTGGCGGAGGCGGATAAAGACGGAGAGCCATGG